AATAAACAATTATTTAACCACATAGGGAGTAACATTCCGTACCATTGCTATGCAGGTGCGCCTTTAAATGTTACGAGTAATTAAAAGAGTAAATTATTAAAATAGTCCTTTGTAATAAGTAATTTTTCTAAATTAGTCCTCAATAAATTTTAATTATCTACATGATTCTCTATAATTAAGATTTATTCCTAAAATAATCCTTTGTGATAAGGTGTTCTCAAATGAGAACTAATTGAGGTATTTTTTTATTCGCTAAATTTAGAATTAATTATTAAAATAATCATTTATAATGAAGTATTTTCCCAAAATGGTTTTTATAATTAAAAATGTGTATTTGATTTGAAATTCAAAAGATTTTTTTAAGTTTTAAATAATCATAAATTATTATATGGTCCTTTGTAATAAGTAAGGTATTTTGCCCAAATCAGTTCACAATAAGTTTTAATTATTTATGTGGTTCTATATATTTGATATTTATTCTCAATATGGTCCTTTGTAAATAATGTTATTCAAATGATGATTTATTGGGAGATATTTTAGTATTTTGATCATCCAAATTTAAAGTATATTCTTGAAACAATCATTTTTGTACAACTAAATGTAAAGTTTAAAAAATACATTGACTATAAATAATTTATGAATTATTTAAAACTTAAAAAAAATCTTTTAAATTTCAAATAAAATACACATCTCTAATTAGAAAAATCATTTTGGGAAAGTACTTCATTATAAATGATTATTTTAAGAATTAATTCTAAATTTAGAGAATCAAAAATACCCTCAATTAATCCTCATTTGAGTAACATTATTTACGAAGGACCATCTTGGGAATAAATCTCAATTATAGAGGACCACGTGGGTAATTAAAACTTATTGAATACTGATTTGGGAAAATACCTTATTATAAATGACTATTTTGGGAATAAACATCAAATATAGAGGACCACGAAGGTAATTAAAACTTATTGAGGACTAATTTGGGAAAATCCCTTATTACAAATGACTATTTTGGGAATTTACTCTAATTAAAAATAAAAAAATGTATACTTCAAAATAACTCATATTATTAATACTAGGGTTGTCAACGGATAACTGAAAATCTGATTATCTTCTGAATCCGTATCAATTTAAAGAGGACATATCCACATATAGTTTAAACGGATATTATCCGTATCCGATTAAAGATATCTGATTACTAAACAGATATAGATTTTGTAATTGTACATCCGATATGTTTAAAATCCAATTTGAATATGCATCCGTTTAAATAACCATTTATTCGAATATCTGATCCGTTATATATAGTTTTTTCTAATTTTTTATGTTTATATTTTGTTTCTCTATTGATATTTCAAAGTATAAAACATTTTTATATACAAAATAAATGTGTAGACACATAAAAATATGTGCATAAGTATAAAAATATGTGTATATGTGTGTTGTGTGTATCTTTTTATCATATGAAGTTATCGTAGAATATCATAAATTATGAAAACAAATGAAATAATTATCCCAAAACAAATTATTGTTGATTTAATAATAGTTTGACTTTACTCTAATTTAATTAAGGTATTTTTCAATTTGATTTTAAAAATTGAAAACGGATAAGGATATATTCAATATCCAATCGATATCCGACGGATGCAGATACGATTTTGATTTTTAATATCCGCCAAGATCCCGCATCCGAATTCGATATCTGACAAAAATAAATGGATACGGATTTGGTAATGAGACATCCGACCTAATTAATATCCGTTTAAACCCCTAATTAATACTCGCTCCAAACAATATATACAACTTTCGTTCCAATGTATTTGTCCAGTTTGATTTTTTTTGAGTCAAACTGGATAAACTTTGAATTCCAATTATTCTCAATTTATATTGCATATTAGCACAATGAAATACAATTTTGAAATTTTTTCAATACGATAAATTTAATAAAATCATTTTTATGTTAAAACACATTGTGATTTTTATTTAATTGAAACTCAGAAATTGTCCAATTTGACTCAAAAAAGTCAAACTAGACAAATACACTTAGACGAAGAAAGTAGTTTATAGACATCATCATTTTTCAATTCTAAATTCATACTATTTCTAAATGTCAACTTAAAAATTGATCATGCATAATTTAAACATAAAACATAGAATATGTCATAATATGAGAGTTAGAAACGACAGGGAAAGAAGATACGGAGTATTTCGATACAAATTGAGATAATTTCAAAAGAATCTACAATTAAAAAAATGAAAATAATATGAAATTCTAAACAAGAAAAAAAATAAATCACGTTGAAAATGTAAAAGAAAAAAGAAAACCAAATTATTGTTTCTTACCACTGTACATTTTATAGGTTCTTTCATTTTTTATCTATTCTCTTTGAATATTTGATAAAATAAAATAATATTGTCACTATTTGTTTTGTAGATCTTGTGAAGTAGTTTGTGTGTGTGTGTGTATATATATATATATATATAATTTGTTAATTAAAATGATTCTTTTGACCTTAGAATCTCGGGTCCTATTTTGACTCGGGGTACCTACAGTAATACATTCATAAAATTAATTGATAATTATCACCTCCTTAATTAACTCCCCTCCTAAACCCTACCACCCCTTATCTACCCCCTCCCCCCCGCACCTAAGGGTGTAAATGGATAACCGAAAATCCGATTACCGTCCGCATCCGTATTCGTTTAAATGGAAAAAATCCGCATTCGTTTTAAACGGATATTATCCGTATCCGATTAAGCACATCCGATTGATAAACAGATGCGGATTTGGTAATTACAGATCCGATCCGTGTTTACATCCGTTTATATATCCGCATATCCGATTATTCGATCCGTTATACCAAATATAGGTAATAAAAAATTATCCGTAGTTAAAAAAAATTATCCATAGTTTAGACTAATTAATATTTTTATGTATACTCCTTGTTTTCTAATTTCTTCTCAGCCCACTAAGCCTAAATGGCCCAAAACCACTATTGAGACTTGAGTATTGATTAAACCTAAATATATCCTAATGCGGAGCACTTTTTTTTTCCGGAACCAGCAGAGTGACCAACTGACCTATCGTCTTGCTCAGCTATTTTCCGAATCCAGCGACGAGTCTGCGGCTTCAGCTCAGCACTTCAATCCATAGCATCATCATCTACTCTATTGTTTGATTTTAGGTACAACTAGTGCATCACCCGCGCGATGCCCGGGAAAAAAACCTTATCCTAATTGTGAAAAAACTTTTTATTTTTTATTGGGTGTTATTTTATAAAATGACATATGTACGTACTTCAATTTAAAAATATTTTCATTTTCTATTTAATTTACATACACATACAAAACATTAAAGAGATAGTATTCGATAGTACTATGTTCAATAAATAATATGAAAATGAAGAATAATTAAATAAGATGAGAATGAAAGATAGTAAATTGTTCACATTAAGACCAATTAAACATTCTCAAATACCTCGTTATAAATTATATTTGTCGTAGTATTAGCTGGAGTATTTTCAAAATTATATATTTTATTATTTTTAAATAGCGCAGGAGCGTAACTTAGCTGTCTGTGACTGAAAATTGATTCTTTCAAAAACATGGGTGAACATCGAATCTCAATATAAAAACCTAAAGTTGTGACTCTTGACACACCAAAAATTTTATACTCTAACAAATTAAACTTCAATGACTCTTTCTCTTTAATGTATAACATCAAATGATATTTCTTTGATGTTAAAATGAAATTCTTATTCATTTTTCACAAGGTTAAATTTTATTTGTTTTTCTCTAGTTTTTGTTAAAAAAATAAATAGTTATGTCACATTTTTAATAGAATTATGTTGTAAGTCTTAAATATATAAAGTTTTACTTCGAGTATCTTATAATTCAATATAAATTTTCCAAACAAATTGAATTAAAATTAACTTTAGTTTTATACTTTGAGATTACATTGTCAACTAACACAATAAAGAGAAACATTTCTAATTATATACAAATAGAAAAAATGTCAATTGAAATGAAACCCGATTTAAAACGATTTAGCTAATTAAGCTAAGTATCCTTGTGTCAAATTTTCAAACATTCACCTAAAATAACAATAATCAATTTAAAAATATATCATTTATTTTTATTTAGCGCCCATTTAGTGCATAGAATTGATAGAATTATGATTGAACTGGAAGTTGAAATTCAATAATGGTATGTTTTGGAACATGAATTTTGATTTGAAATCTGAATTTGGCTCAAATTCTATGTTTGAGAAACTTAAAACTTTTGAATTTGGATTTGAATCAAATTCTTTTAATTCATAAGAAAACTTAATTTTAAATCCATTCCTCTCCCTTGTCATTTGAAATTCAAGATTTCAAATTTTGGAATTGAAATACATGAATTGAAATGAAATCCTATTTGCTAAACAATACCTAAAATTGATTGGGATGTAATTGAATTCTCTAATCCCAATTCATTTTTGACGCTATCAAATCTAAATTTACATTTTTTGTGCTATCAGACAACAGAATAAAAATTATGTCCTCAATTTTAATTCTATAACTTAAACTTCGTGTACTAAATGGAACCTTAGTCTTATTCAATCCAATTCAGTCGCATTTAGTTCTATTGAACATTTTTTATTTTTTTGGGTACCCAATATGACCTCAATTTCTTTTTGAAAATCAATGGATTAGAGCACTGGAAATACATATGAAGCCCCGGGGCTTCAAACTTTCTCTCTCTGCCACGTCAGCTTTAACTTACACCCAAAATTCACTGGAAATGGTTTTGAAGCCCCGGGGCTTCAAACTGGGGCTTCAAACCTTCATTTTTTACATTTTTAAATATACATCTTCTAAATTTAAATTTATAAATTCAAATTAATTTATTATTTAATTAAATTGAAACACGAATAATAAAAAAAATACATTAATTAAATAAAAAAAGTGACAATAATTTAAAAAAACGATACATTAAAAAAAACTAAGGTAATTTATATTTTTCCTTGATCTCTCTCTTTCTTTGCTCGTAGATCATTCGTCCAAACTCCGACAACGTCTCGGGGTCGGTTTGCATGACTTGCATCTCGGTCTCTTGCTCCTTTATCTTCAACTCCTTCTCCTTTAGCTTCAACCTCTCCTTTTCTTGGAGATTGAACGCCCGAAGTTGTTCAACCATTGCTAGGCCGATTTCGTCGCTGGAGAAGCGGAAAAAGAGGCGGACCCTCCCGAACCAGAGGCAATGGATTTTGCCTTCTTTCTTCCGATCGGCCGTGGAATGGGGTCTTCGTCATCGGAACCCGCAACGTTGAAGGGAGGCATTTGATCGGTAGAACCGATAGTCTCGTCAACCTCAACCTCGGCGTCGACGGTGGATCTTTTCCGGAATGATCCGCCGTCGGTCGGGAACGGTCCGCCGTCGGGATTGTTGAGTTGTTGCCACTTCGGGGAACGACTCAAAATCCTCCAAAGATCGATGGGCACCTTGCCTTAGTTCCCGTCGTCTTGATACCGGGTCGTGGCAAGCCGGAGAACATCGGCATCGTTCGTGCCGCTCCTCCGGGACCGGGAGCATTCCTCGTATACTCCCATAAACTTTCGGACTTTTTTGTTGATGTGGCCCCATTTGGAAGTGAGTTGGTCACAGGTTTGGTAGGAGCCGTCCTTCTTCATCGCTGTGAAGAACTTCGCCTCGATACGATCCCACATCGCATTGATCGTTTGCTCATTACCTTTAAAAATGTATTACACAATTTTTTTAGACACCATTAAATATAATGTATATAAATGAAAACATAAATATATTAGAAAATTTTTTTTTACCAACGATAGGATGCTCGGAGACGTCAACCCACGCTGACGCCAATATGCACTCCTCCTCCGGCGTCCACTTTTGGATTGACCGTGCCACCTCGGTCAACGTGGTTTTGGCTTTGTGGCTCCTCCGGCATGTACTTTTTTCGACTTATATATGATTCTCATGGTTTGTAGGACTCTTATGAATTGGTTGTTGAACTTGTGTGTGATGGACATCTTTAAACTCAAATTATGCATGTTGCTTATCTTTGGTTATGTGCCTTGCCCTCATCCCTTTTTGTTGTTTCCAAAAGCGAGAGAAGTTTTGGATTTCTTGTATGCACTACTTTAGGGGGGGGGGTACTTAAAGAGGGGGAGTTTCTTTATCATTTGAATCAGGGAAGTTCGCTTATCTTGATTGATCATGCAAATTTAGTCTTTTGAAAGCCTTATTTGTCAACATAAAAAAGGGGAGATTGTTAGCCTAGCCCATACTCATCCCAATTGTTTTGATGTACCAAGTAAGTCTTTTGTTGTAGTACTAACCTACCTTTCATTGCAGGATGAGGAGAACTGGCCTCAGCATGATCTTCCAGGGAGTTAGCCCGGTCATCTTTTGCGTCATGGGTCGCAGATACACCCCCATCTAGATTTTTTAACCGGTACACCCATCCCCCGTAGGCATATGGTTTCCCGGTCACAGGATTACCCTTGAGAAGTTTCTCACAGGCGTCCTCAAGCTCTTTAGTGGGCTCCAGGTGAATCCTTTCAAGATTCATAACCCGGTCAGCCCACTCAGGGTTAGTGAAAGGAAATTGGTCAGGGGGAAATTCAATGAAGACAAATCCCTTTTTCCATTTCTTATGGCTGGGGGGAAGCCCGGTTATAAACCCTCTAGAGGAGGCTCGAGAATGGAGATAAATAAAGCCCAGGCAGTTGCTAGTCCCGGGCAAGACGTCATACATATAAAGGAAGAGTTCAAGGGAGGGATTGATATTCAGAGATTCACAAATATTAACAAAACAATTTAAGAACCGGTGAGCATTGGGAGTTAATTGACCGGGCAAAATATGGAACTTGTTACAGATTTCGACAAGGAGGGGACGGAGAGGAAAAATAATGCCGCCCTCCAGAGAAGCAACGTGGAAACCCAACTGGGTTCCTATGTGGGGTTCAATAATATTGGGCCAGGTGGTTTTAGAAAGGACTTTATAGCCCGGTGGAAGGACAGAGCGTACCTCCGCCAAGACCTTCTTTGTAACCCTAAAAGACTCTTTGAAGACCGGTCCTGAGTCAAGGGCTAGGTAACCCAGCGACCCCAATCGTTTTTCCCATTGATCCCAACTGAGGACCTTGGGGTTGAATCGACCAGGCAGTTGGGTCAAGGGGACAGGCTCCTGGGCAACTATTTCCCCGGCCTGAGAGCTGGACTGGTGAGGGGGGCGGCGAATCAAAGGAGTGGCAGGGGGAGAAGAAGATTCAGAGTGGGAAGAAGAAGAGGGCTGAGAGCCTGATCCATAGGATTGGCCAGATATGTTTTGACTATCAGAAGACATGACTTCAGCCTACCGGTCAAAAACAGAAAGATGGAAGAATTAAAAGACTAGGAGGACTAGAATACTTACTTGGCAAGAAGCTAGTGTTAGAATAATAATAATAGTAATTCCTATTTATGTTAGAAGTAGTGTTTTAGTCAGTTTCCTTTATTATTGGTTCCTATGTGTGTTAGGAATCATACCTATATATATGGCTTGTACATCTTGATTATTACTTGATTAATACAATTATTTCATTCTGCCAATATGGTATCAGAGCCTCGTTGACTAAGAGGTCACGGGTTCGAAACTCAGCGCCACCCAGTTTAAAAAAAATTAAGGTTTCACGTGCAAGGCTTGAAAAAAATTACGCCTGCACGTGAGGGGGCGTGTTAGAATATAAATAACTGTTCCTGGGCCACAACCATAAGCTTAAGCTTTTGGGTTAGAATTGTGGATCCTGACTTTATATGCAAATGGTTAATTTTACCTGAAACTCTATCCGTTGTTCTCGGCCCGCCGGAATTTTCACATGGTATCAGAGCCTCGTTGACTAAGAGGTCACGGGTTCGAAACTCCGCGCCACCAAGTTTAAAAAAAAAATTAAGGTTTCACGTGCAGGCGTAGTCTTTTTTTCGAGTCTTGCACGTGAAACCTTACTTTTTTTAAAATTGACGATCGGGGACGGTGAAGATTGGCGCGCGACAGATGCGATCGCGACGGTGAAGAGAAGAAGAGCGTGCTGAGATAACCAAACCATCTGCTCCACGACTGCCACTTTGTTCGTGAACAAGTTATTGCTGGGAATATGCATGTTTCTCATGTTTTCTCTGAAGATCAGCTTGCAGATTTACTCACAAAAGCTCTACCGGCTCCTCGGTTCCAGTCTCTCGCTTCCAAGCTTCCACTCGTACAACGTCGTTCAGCTTGAGGGGGGATGTTAGAATAATAATAATAGTAATTCCTATTTATGTTAGAAGTAGTGTTTTAGTCAGTTTCCTTTATTATTGGTTCCTATGTGTGTTAGGAATCATACCTATATATATGGCTTGTACATCTTGATTATTACATGATTAATACAATTATTTCATTCTGCCAATAGCTAGAGATAGAACGTAGACCGGGCAAATAGAGAGAAGCGAAGAGAGAAGTGAAGAAATGAGATGGGTTGGAGGAGTATTTATAGGAGAGAGAGGGGAGGGTTGGATTCGGGGCGACAGGTGGAAGGCTGAGGGGATGCCACGTGGAAAGGGTAATGATGAAGAGGGAAATTCAAATTTTGAATGAAGAAGGTGAAGGGTTTTAGGGGAAAGTCCAAAACTGAAAAAGGCCAGGCCCAACGTTTGGACTACCGCAGCCAAAGGGACAGGTCATGAAGTATAATTCAACGGATCTCAACGTGACAGGTCATGAAATGGCTTAATGATTCAAAAGGTGACAGGTCACAAAGGAAAGGCTTGATGACTTTATAAGTGCTAGGTCAAGGGAAAGAATTGATGGTTCAAAATGGACAGGTCTGAGATGACGATTTAAAGATTCAAAAAAGGGGACGGGTCAGATAGAAAGACTTGAGGATCCAAAGAAGGACAGGTCTGATGGGAAGACTTAGTGATTCGTAAAGGACAGGTCTGAGATGACAACTTAATGATCTCAAAAAAGAACAGGTCATGAGAAAGACTTGATGGCTTCAAAGAGGGACAGGTCTGATAGGAAGACTTAGTGATTCAAAAAGGACAGGTCATGAGAAAGACTTGATGGCTTCAAAGAGGGACAGGTCTGATGGGAAGACTTAGTGATTCATAAAGGACAGGTCTGAGATAACAACTTAATGATCTCAAGAAAAGGACAGGTCATGAGAAAGACATGATGTCTTCAAAGAGGGACAGGTCATGGGAATGAGTTGGCGATCTCAAAAGTGATAGGTCAACATTAATAGACTTCCCGCCCTTGATGATTTCCTCACAAAGGCAGTAAGTGAAGGACTTCTTGATGGGTATATCCCTATACCCGACCCGGACAACCGAAAGGGACAGATCAAAGTATGACCGGTCACTTTTATCAATCACCAAATGAGGTTAACTCTTCGATTGGGACGGGTCAAAAGTTGACCGGTCACTTCCACTAAAAAAGTGACCGGTCATATTTTGGGCGATAGCCAAAATGTCGCCTAATGTTACAAAGGACATTCTAGAAGACCAGAGAGACGGGTTGAGTGCACGAAATGACCGGGTAACCTTTGAGAGAAGGTGACCGGTCATGTCACTTTACTTTGCAAACATTGGTCCAGTATCTCAGGCATGGTAAACCACGTCAAAGATCGAGGGACCACCCTGTCGTTCGTCCATCACGAGGCAAATAGTGAAAGAGATGTTTGTCACCTTGCAGGGCTGATTGGATTGAGAATATCCATTTATAGTTTTTGATTGAACAGTGTCTTGGCTTGTAGCTATTAAAATCAATGATTGTACAGTGTTCCTATTAACTACAGTGACCTTCCCACGGGCTTCCTATTTTGTCCATGGATGAACAGGGGAAGGTCACAAATCCTCCTCTATAAATATGATGATATTGGATAGAGGAGGGGAGGAATTCTTTATCTCACTAAAAACTAGTACACTCTTGAGATAGAGTAAGAAATATATTTCGGACTGAGGGATTTATCCGGTCTAGGTCATACTTTGTGTTCTTGTTGAGTGTTTTATACACACACACACTACGTCACAAAATCTACAAAACAAATAGAGACAAGATTATTTTATTTTATCAAGTATTCAAAAAGAATAGATAAAAATATAATTAAAGTTTAACCCTGAGAATAATTAAATGAAAGAACCTAAAAAATGTACGGTGGGGTAAGAAACAATAATTTGGTTTTCTTGTTTAGAATTTCATATTATTTTCATTTTTTTAATTGTAGATTGTTTTGAAATCATCTCATTTTGTTATCTAAATATCTTCTTTCCCTGTAGTTTCTAACTCTCATATTATGACATATTCTATGTTTTATAATTAAATTACGCATGATCAACTTTTAAGTTGACATTTAGAAATAGTATGAATTTAGAATTGAAAAAATGATAATGTCTATAATATACTCTTTCCGTCCCAGTGTATTTGTCCAATTTGACTTTTTTGAGTCAAATTGGACTAACTTTGAGCTTCAATTAAATAAAAATTGTAATGTATTTTAACATAAAAATGATTTTATTAGAATTATCGTATTGAGAACTTTCAAAATTGTATTTTATTATGCTAATATGCAATATAAATTGAGAATAAATGGAATTCAAAGTTTATCCAGTTTGACTCAAAAAAATCAAACTGGACAAATACATTGGGACGAAAGTTGTATATTGTTTGGAGCGAGTATTAATTATAAACAGATATTAATCGGATCGGATGTCTCATTATCAAATTCGTATCTGTTTATTTTTGCCGGATACCCTTTGTACTCTAGAAAATAAAAACGGTTCCAGTTATTGTTTGGTGCTGGTAAACTGGATACTGTTTCAGTAGAGAAGTCAAATGAAAGGATATGATTTCGAGATGCTCTCCAATAAAAAACACCAGATACACAAGCAAACCCACTAAAAGAACCAAACTCAGTGCATGGTATTCTCTTCCAGGAATTAGTTTTGAGTGAATACAAGTCAATGTGATAACTACTCCCAAGAAAATGCCGTTTTTCATCTTTCAAACTTCCTTTAACAGTATACAGCATTTTGTAATCTTCAAATCTAGGATCAGACCACAATCCAAATGATACACGCGCATATTCAAGGCCAGGAGGGAGTTCCAGAAAGGGCTTAGGAAGGATCTTATACTCAGTCGTTGTTGGGTTCCATAGAACATGACCCAACCTGTTATCATGAAAATGAAGGAGACCATCACAGCTACACCCAGTGAAGGAATAACCTTTAGCTAGAAAACTGGGAGGATATATGTAATACTTGGGTGAGATGATGCCATCCTCTTCAAGGGAATATGCAACAAAACATTTACGAAGATTATCATCAAGGGAATAGACAAAAATGTCAGGCTTCGGCTTCGGCTTAGGGCAGAGGTCTGCCTTCCAATGTTGTAAGCATGATGACAATGCTGTGCATTTTCTCTCATATATGTTGGGATCAGGTAGCCCATAGTAACCTACGCAATAAAAATGGAAACATAATATGAACATTTTTAGATTTGAAAAAACTAAAACTTCTGGTAGTTGATGGTATATAGCTAGATTAATGATGAGCTTAGCTAACAAGCGTTTACTAGCTATGCTGTTGAATGCTTGCTTCTTTTCCACATTAGTTTCTTATTATTATTGTTTTCATTTTCATCTTTTTTTTCCTCTTTTGACACACCTTTGTGATTAGCTTTTGAAAAAAGATGTGTGCTTTGTTAACATGTACTACTCCTTCCGTCCCAGAGTATTTGTCCACTTTCATTTTTACACACCATCCAATACACTTCTTTAATCCATTTTATCTTGTAATTTGTATATTAAAAAATTATAGAAATTATATATTAATAATCTATATGTTAAGACAAATCAAACAAGATCACACATGACTATAGACATTAAGAGAATTTGATGAGTCAAAGTGCTTAGATGAATAGTTCCAAAAGTCAAAAGTGGACAAAAGCTGAGGGACGGAGGGAGTATGTATCAAGTAAATGCTTGGTGGCTTTTTATCTCTTTATGTTTTCTCCACCTTAGTTCACTCTTTGCTTCTTTGTTCGTGCTCTGTGATTTATGTATTGCTCGAGTTGGGGGTCTCTTATGAGTAAAAGTAAGGTGTGCTAACACGTACCCTCCTAAGACCCTATTTTTTTGGATTCTACAGCGTTGTTGTTGTACCAAGATATAAAAATACAACACAAATAGTGAACAATCTAATTGTAACATGATAAACACAGAATTCACTTTATTATTCAGAAATTTTGCAAATACCTGAGCGTTCACACAAAAGATTTGCGTAGGGTTTGAATAGCTTCTTCCCCGTAGGCGGGGCACCCGGGATTCTCATATTTTCCCTGGAATAAATCTTGCCAGCTTCCGCCTCTCTAACCAAAATAAACAACTTTCCAAATAATTGACAGTTTAACAAAACAAAATCCAGAGAAAATTTATAAAAAGACAAAAATATAGAATCTTTGGAAGAATTTTAGCTCGGAGTCCGATACCCGGCCCGGAACAGCAATTAGCTTCTGCCCCTCTAACCAAAATAGACAATTTCCCAAATAATGGACAGTTTAACAAAAAAATCCAGACAGAATTAATAAAAAGAAGAAAAAAATAGAACCTGGGGAAGAAAGTAGCTCGGGATCCGATACCCGGCCCGGAACAGCAATTGGTAGATCGAGCACCGTTGCAAAGCCGAAGGCAGCGCGTGGCGGAGGCACCAAAGCCGCTCAACCAGGCAACCATGCTTTCTGTAAAGATAAATTAGGATTCAGCTGCTAACTAAGTAATACAAGGAATCAACAAAATATGCTAGCTACATATTTTATCTCTGCAACTAATCTGAAGAAATTACTATATAACTTACGGAAGAGAAGGTAGAGAAATATGGTAGTGAAGAACAACTAGAACAGGAGACGCCGCCGATTTTCGGATCTAGAGAGGGATGGAGAATTAAAAAGGTGTGAGAAAAGTGTTACTTCCAGCTATTTATTTCTTCTCATTTTCACTTTTGCGGTCACCTTTATTAAATTTTAATTATAAATTTTAAAAAATAAATTAAATTATGATTTAAATTTAACACTAATAAAATTATTTTAAAATGAAGTTTTGAAAATGTTATGCTTTTTTAATCTACGTTTTGTATGTATAGAGATAGTATTGATTAAAATGTTGCATTAGAAAACGTAAAAAATCATACGAAAAAAATATAACACAAAGTGAATAGATTTGAAGAAAAATGACACTCCATGCATTTTAAAATTAACTTATCATTTGACCACGAAAATCCAACTTGGAAATTAGTTTTTAGAAGAGAAATACAAAACTTTCCCACAGTTAGATCTTTAAACATTCTTTTACTCTCACGGCAGTTCGGATATAATATTGGGGTGTTTCTCTGTAAAGATGCTTATAGTCTCATTGATGATTAATGTGGGGATCGATTCAATCTCCCTGGGTTCTCACACGGCGATCGATCCAAACAAAAGGATCGATCTAGCAACGAACAAACCCCAAACATGAGGACCCAAAACATGTGTGCAAGTTGAGTGAATATTTTGAAGCTTAATGACTTGTTTTGGAAAAGGATTTGAATATGATAATGCTCCCAAAAGCAAACAAACCAAAAGGGTTGAAAAGAATTAATTCAAATTCAAAATTTGAATTAAATATTTGAATTTTGGTGTAGAAATTGAGTCCCAAAAATATTTTGTATATCAAACGATGTACAAGAAAAATTCTTTAAAGTATATTTTTCTTACCACAAATGATTTGTGTATCCTTAAAAAGTATTTTAAGAAATTTTGACACACTATTTTGAAACTGACTCAGTAAAATATTTCTAGACAGAGAAAAAATAATTTTTCAACTGACTCAAGAAATAATAATTTTTCTTTCAAAAAATTAATTTGTTTATGCAAAAATTATTGTCATCCTTACAAGAATTCCTAGACTCAAATAAAAAAAATCTTTGGAGTCTTCACTTCACTTCAAAAATCTGAGTAGGGGTGAGCGTTGATTTTTATCGCCGTAAACTTCTTTATACCCTTCTTTTCTTTTCTCGATACGAAAAATAAATTTTCGATTATCGATTGAATTTAATCATCCTTTTTGTCATTCATCAAAACAAAAAATATTCTAGAAAAATAATAAAGGGGTTTGAACTCATGTCCAACAATTATTGCAATAGAGTAGGACATATAGCTCTCATGTTTTTTACCTGACATAGGCATTGCACCTACAATGAAACACACAACATTTTTTGTGTTAACAAAAAAATCCTTCGGAAAAGGATATTCGTGTCATAAACAATCTCCACAGGATAATGTACAAAAAAACCATACTATTTCTTCTACTTTGACGAAAAGAAGAAAGTCCATATTCTATTACCGGAACCCACAGAAATCAAATCGAGATATGGGCACTCCATTCGGGTAGATTGGAACCTACCAACCACGACACAACGGCTTGGCCAAGGTAACTCTTAAATAGTTAGTTGTGTGTGTGTGTGTGGGTAATAAAAATTTCACTACCCCCAAGGATCCATATAGACCTATTTTGGGTACTAAAGTTTTATTTTTTAGGTGAGCAACGAGCACAAAAATCAGAGGGAAGCCAAGGCAACAACGATATCATTTTATGAACATCGTTGAGTGAACAACAGCGATGTAGCAAAGCATGACTCAACGCCAAACTAGGAAACCACAACAACAACGATGTCAAAGAACTCATTCTTTGATTGACTTGTGGGATTCAAATAACAAATTTATTTGGGCATGACCATGCTCTAATCTTCCCAAGTCACATCAATCCGTGAGCCCTAAGATATTAAACTTTACAAAGGAATGGATAAATTCTATCTACGTCATTCACATATCCACTTAAGTTTCATTACATACTCAAGACATAATTGTACATCCACCAATATTTCTGATGGCATTAATTACGCATCAAAGTATGCAATTCAACTTACCAAAGATCTTAATGACTTCAAGTCGAAGGATAATTATACTAATGGTCACATGAAAATAAGATTAACATTAACATAATATCCATATATTATACTCATAGCGGGTCAATCAAGTAATAAATTTAATACATTTACCTTTGTATAGATTCAGATAAGACTTTATCAATAGCCTATGATGTTAGAAAAAAGGCTCAACGCTAGAAGGGGGTGAATAGCGTTTAAAACAAAATCGCGGGAAATTAAAAATGAGAGCGATAAAGTAAAGAGCGTAAGGAAGGAGCACACCAAATTTTATCCTTGTTCACCATAACGTGTGGCTAATCCAGCCTCCCGAGAGACTCTCTCGAGTTACACTAACTCCGTTAAGCTTAAGGGTGCTTAACAAACCGATACAACTTGAGAACTCGAGTCACACGAGCCTCAACGCCTTTGCTCGGAGATTGGCGTGAGGTTCTGAAGAGTGCTTCCTTGTTTCTTGAAGGAAGCTCAAATGTTGTTCCCTTGTTGGAGGGAATTTCACATACTTTTGTGAATTTGTGAGTCCTTATTTTGAGAGTGTTTCTCATCTATACTCACTTGTAGTATACGCTCAAGAACACGACAATTTCTTCAAGAATTGGCTCTCAAATAGCTTAGAAAAATAGGAATGCTTATGCAATGAAAGAGTATTGAAATGTTGAAGAATTGTGTGTAAAATGAGAGGATTTGGGTGCCAATTTATAGCCCAAAATGGGATAAACCCGTTGCTAGAATTTCCAACAGGATGAAAACAAATTTTTCAGAGACACAGGGTGATAGTCGATTGTCAAAGCCTGATAATCGATTATCAAAAGATTCCATGTCCAAAAAATTAAAATTCTATCCGTTGGAGGACAACGGTAACCCAGATAATCGATTGTCTACAAGTGATAATCGATTATTAGTCCTCTCAGAAGATTCTGGGTTTTGGCTACGAAGACTGATAATCGATTGTTGCAGAGTGACAATCGATTATTGCATGCTTTAGAACTTTGGAGTTCAAAGCTGCAGAGGCAGATAATCGATTTTCACCAATGTGATAATCGACTATTACCTAGCTAAAGTCTAGCCAGCTGAAACCCGTTTTGAAAAACCGAGGTCCAAAAACGAAGTGTTCCCAAAAGTAAAAACCAAATTTGAAAAATATTGTATATGGTATAAAATAGTGAAACCAAGACTTGTTTGGTTAAAACCAAGTCTCCAAGGTCGTAAATCACGTGTGTACGATTTTGACCTTTTCACGTGTTAGACCGATTGACCAAGATACAAAAGTGGTTTTTATAAAATAATTAATTGGGAACTTTTAAATATGCTCAGAGATAAAAGCGAGGTTTAAAACATTGAAAGCCACCGAGTTGGTTCGGGCGCCCAAAACCGAACGCCGAACACCAAATGCCGTACGCCGATGCCGAACACTGAATGCCGAACACCGTACGCCGACTTAGGTGATTTTGGTTCTGAGCAAGGACCAGGGATTTTAACAATAAAAAAATTTATCAAAAATGTTTATTTTGATGCACAAAAATATTTTATGATTTTGTAAAATTATTTTGACTCTTTGAGAACCGAGACTTGAATTGATTGTCGGTTTTGCTCACAAAAGACCGACTCGACTAAGTCTTCAATTCTTGATCTAGTCCTTGAGTCTTTTAGGTCTTGTTCCATGCCATTCTTCGCGCCTTGAGTTATTCAACGAAACTCTTTATATCCACGGCGGTTTGGCAATTATCAAAACCTGTCAGAAATGAACACGACTTTAGTTAAACGTGCAAAGTGTGTTCCAACATATGAGACACAACTATCTCATCTCACACATATTAGTCTTAGCATATTATGACGTCCTTATTATCATAATATTTTACTAAGGATATTTTAGACGTAGCATCTATCTTTGCAATAGCCTCATAATCAAAACATCATAGTTCTCATCTATTCTGTCAGAGCACCAACTCTATGGACTAAAGTTATGTTTTAATCACACGAGACAATTTAAACAATATCTAGAGCCTATTATTCTTTATATAATTTGGATATGAAATCAAAAGTTGGCCTCTAAGAATCATTTATATTCAACAAAATGATAAATTAATTTTAATTCGTATGGAGTAACAATTTTCTTCAAATCTATTCCCTTCGTGTTATATTTTTCTTTTCATTTATTTGACTTTTTATGTTATTTAATGTGACATTTTAATCAATAATATCTCCATACATATAAAAACGTAGATTATAAAAGTATAATATTTCAAAATTTCGTTTTAGAATGAATTTATTACTATTAAACTTATATCATAATTTAATATATTTTTTAATAATTTATAATCAAAATTTAATAACATTGACCCAAAAGTGAAAATCTTTCATCTTTTACTATAATATTTGAGACTTAGCTCACATAATTTCGATATGTGGTAGGTCTTTTTGGCATTTTTAATAAGTCATCCACCACCTATTTATGATGTTAATGAGTTGGCAATTCTAATCAATATAAGGAGTAGTAATTTGACATTATTTTATTATGTTTTTCAATTTATTGACCATAGTGAACAAACTAATACTACACCAATCCTAGAAAAAATTTCCTGTATTGAATTTTTAGGCAAACAATGACATTCTCTTACTACAAAATAAACATAATTTGAATAAATATATATTATAAAAATTTGATACATAAAAAATGTATCCTAAGATGAACCCAAGTATATCCAATTTACATTGAAATTAAATAATTTTTTCATAATTTGAAATGAAAGAATATTACTATTTGACAAAAAATCAAAATGGGAATGGTTTTCGAGGGGCAAAGGGAGTAGTTTTTTTGTGAGTTTCATGGTGTTAATCTTAAGAATTAGTAATTGTATTATCTTTTAGCGCACCAATTTGTTTCTCAAGTAATATGTTTGACCACTGAGATGTTTAGAATATATATATTAGTAAAAAATATTAAGAAAATTATATTAAACTTATTCTTTTTCAGATATTAAAGTAC